AACTAAGTAACGGTGTCCGTTAGCCAAGGTAGTAGTATCGGCCGTATAAATCGTTTTTGGACACATAATTCCGGCTTTAGATGGTGAATGTACATAGCCTCAGCGATGGATAAGAGCTGTTTGCGGAATCCTTGGGAGAAGTGTTCAGGTAATGAGTAAATGACTTTGAAGTCATTCTCTGAAGCTGTATGGCCACATTCAAGGAGGTGCGGCATGATAGAGCTGTCTGAAGACCTCATTTCGCCTCTGTAAAACCGTGCCGGGATGTGTTCACGAACCCACTGAGATAGGCGTCTCGTCGTGCGACCCACGTATCGTGCACCACAGGAGCACGAGTATTGATAAATGATCGTTGAACGGGTCAACGGCGGTAGTCTATCCTTCAAGGGTTTTGTAAGCAACGGCTTATTGTGAAAAACGATTCTCAGGCGGGCCGCGAAATAAGTTTTCTCGACAGCATCTTTCAGGCGTCTGGATAACATATCAGCTGCAGAATCGCCCTTAAAGGGTATATGTATGAAAAGCTCTTTCTTAGGAGCAGTGCTCCTAGGTGGCTTTCGATTACGTTCCTTCAAATGTTTCATGATAAATTTATCAGGTTAGCCATTTTCCCTGAGGGCGTCGCTGATTCTCTGTAGTTCTTCGTTGACGGTATCCGGTGTACAAATACTGCGCACTCTAAAGGCGAAAGATCTGATTAAACTCCGCTTGTGCTGTAGTGGTACTGAGCTGTGGAAGTTAGTGTACTGCCCAGTCCATGTGCGCTTTCTGTGCACCTTTCTGCTGCATGATCCGTCTGAGTTACGGATAACCTCTACATCCAAGAAAGGTAACCGGTTTCCGAGTTCGTGTTCACAAGTGAAATGGAGATGCTTGTGTGCGTCATTGAAAGCTTTCAGCAACTGTTCTGCATGCTTTTTGGATTTGCAAAGTACGAAGGTGTCATCCACATACCGTACGTACATTTCGGTTTCACGGATGTGTGTTGCAAGTGGGCCATGTTCCAATTTCGCCATGAATATATCAGCCAGCAGCGGGCCCAAAGGAGATCCCATGGCCACTCCATCAATCTGACGGTACATTTCACCATTGAAAGTGAACTGAACATTTAACGTGCAACGAAGTAACACCTCCTTTAGTAAATTCTCCGGAAAAGTTGTGTATATGAGCAGTTGCCGAGCAAGCTCGTATACGTAATCCACGGTTTCGAGCAATGGAATGTTTGTGAACAGCGACTGGGCATAGAATGATATCATCCTTTTGTTAACAAGGTTGCTTTCAGATATCCTCTCAATGAATTCGAAAGTGTCTCTCACGCAGTAAGTACAAACCAAATTCCGGAACGGCTGCAGCTTCGCCACCATCCACTGGGCCAACAAATGCTGAGGAGAACCCACCATGTCCAAGATTGGGCGCATTGGGGCGCCTTCCTTGTGAACTTTAGGTAGGCCATATAATCTCGGTAGGTGTCCACCTGAAGTCTTCAGCTTTTCGAATTCGTTCTTCGTGATAAGTTTGGCTTGCATCATTCGCCTGAGACAGCCGGTTAGCTGTTTCTCTAACTCTCCTGTGTTGTCTTTTCCTGTCATGAACCTCTGAAACTTACTCTCATCACTGAGGATGTGTTTCATTTTATGGATATAATCTACCCTATCCATTAGCACTATGCCGGAGCCCTTGTCTGGCTTAGAGATTATCAATTCGTTGTTTAACCGTAGTTCTTTAAGTGACTGGATTTGTTCCCTATTGGAACGAAGGTTGACATGGGGTGTGGGTAAACTCACCCGTGCATCTGCTTTCGCGGTATTTTCCGCTGCCAGTGTCGAACGAAGCGGGGGATCACATGGCTAGTCAGTCGGTAAGTTAACCGGGAATTATTCTCTTCCTTCATCCGCTCAGTTATTCCACCGGTTGGATATGTGGACTGCATGCAGATCTGACGGAATATTCACAGTGCATAAACCGCCAGATGAACATCTTTGATTCGAAGGCGGTCAAGCGCAAGTTAGTGTTACCATGTCGCTGCTGCTGTCCTATTTGTCTGCGTGCTTCATCCGTTCTCCCTAGTGCTATAATTTCACCATGCTTCTCCCCTTATATAGCGCCATTTAGGGAAACAGTTTTCTGCAAGTGTTACATTGTTTCACCTTACACACGATTGTTCTAACTGCTCTTTCATGAGAGATACACCACCTGGGTGCCCATCTGTCACAGCGCAGTTCCTCGTTAACTCCAGGAACACTGCTTACATTCTTGAATTATGTTTAGTTTATACACTTCCGGATACTGCGTCCTTAGGCCCAGCTTTATCCGCCGGTAATCAACCAGGTCGGTGATGTGTAGCGTTTGCTTGATCTATTGACCTATCTCACTTATGCAGTGTTCAACTTATTCACTGATGCAACTTGCAGTTAGAGACAGATTCATGGTTCAGTCGAACGACTGACTTCGTTTTGGGTCACACGTCATCAACCAGCTTATTAGTTGTTTGTCGATCGCACCCTCGGTGTTATTGCTCACAGAGGGCGATGCGATTCTTTCCATTCACGTTATCGGAATCGCAATTTAGTCTAATTTTTGACACAGAAAATAGGGTGTCATAGTTGGTTACGGAGGCTTCCATCGTTGTGTAGCGAGACTATTGAAATTGCCGACAGATGACCGCAGTACCATAACAACTTTAACGGAGCACTCCCTGCAGGCAGAAAATTACCATTCCGATTCACAAGATGAATATCTGGATTCCCAGCAACTAATTGTTTACCCGTTCTATGTCCCATAGTTACATGCCCTCCAGACATAATTGTGATGTAATTCGCGTGATGGATAGCACGAGTAAACTCTGGACGCCTACCACCTATTCGCTCATCCACTCTGTGGCTCATGGTTACGTCACATGGCAACCGACAGAACTATTATGTACTTAGCGAGACTCCTGTCGGGATCTCACTAGGGAGGACCGAAGCAGACGCCTGCCCCATCTGATGAAGGCCGGTGTGACTACACCGTGTGTGCTTCCAAGTTGCTATATCACTCACACTCAGTGCAAACCGAGTGTTCCTGATCGTCAGGCCGTGAGTCGCACACAGTGAGAGCAGCCTTGTCACTGTTCGCATTCGCTGAACCAATGTTATTCGGACCGAGAACATCTGTCCACATCGATGCATCACGCTCAAGGCGCGCGTTGAAATCAATCAGTAGAAATAGTCGGTCGCTCCTCGGCACAGATCGTATCACGGAAGACAGTTGAGGGCAGAATTGGTCACGCATTTCATCAGCATAACAAATGATCGGAACGTACGTGCTCATAAAATTAGCAAAATTACCTCTTCCGAGTCCCACGGGAACAGTCATCAGTAGCGCTCTGATGCCTGTTGGTTCAAGCACTAGGTGGCCATGGAGGCGATCGGATATTGCAAATCCGACCCCATGTTCAAGTGGTGCTGAGGTGGCGTTGCCCACCCAGTAGAACGTGTAGTCCGCACCTGCTTCATGCAACTTACCTTGCTCAGCGAGCCGAATCACACTGAGCGCCGCAATATCCATGTTGTGCCGCACCAGTTCCATCGTGAACAGTGCAGTGCGTCGATCAGGGTGCTCACTCGAGTTCCGGTCCAGTAGTGTGCGTACATTCCAGCACACAATGCTGAGTGTTTGCACGCAGGCAAACGATTGCATTGGTGGGCAATCGGATGCGAGGTGGCAGATGTGCTTCGGAGGTTTACTTGAGGAATTCCACCAGAACCCTTTGGCTCAATAGCTTGAACCACAAGATAGTGGAGAGCAGAACCAGCTCGGGAATGTGACTGCAGACAGATTGGGATCTGCTTACACGGCCTTCACACGCAGCCTTTGAGGTACTGAAACGATTCGTATGTGTTATGCGACCGTAGTAGGATATGCATATGCGACCACAGCCAGACGGAGGAGAATTTGGAGGGTTTGCATCAATTTGACGAGGGGCTGCCTGGTTTGAGGCGGGTAGTAGCAAACCATTGAGCACCCGGAGGTACCCTCACACCGTCAGAGACAATGCTCTACGCCAATCGAGCTGTGAGCTTATAACCCGCAGGCATGTTGTCCATCATGGCTAGGTTTCAGTTGAAGAAGGCCACCGACCACTTTCTAACCTCCGAAAAGGATAGACTAGGATATTGGCAGGACGCTGACACCTGACAGGAGAACGACTCGGGTTCTCAGCCAAAGCCTTCGAATAAATGTACACCCGAAAGTCAGCGGGTCTAACACATTATCAGTTCACTGACTCATGCGGATTGGTGTTCTGGATTTTAGCAGGGAGAAGGGCGTAACCAAAATCCCACCCAACAGTCGAGACGAGGAGGTGTCCAGGACATGAGCCAATGGCACAACAATAGCGGAGTGGGAACTCGTGTCATTGCAAAATGGTGCAACTTGTGAACATCATGACGATATTGATCACTTCTTCGACAACAAGTACTTGGCCTGTGTGACCGATGCATGCTAGGTGCAGTTTGCCCAATGACCCGCAGAATGGAAGTGCACCACGGCCGACTTCGAGCAAATGCCAGTCGGAGGAAGTGTCGCACTCCATCCGCACGCAACAGACAGAGAAAACGAATCAACAATCGGTGATGAAATTGTATGAAATTTCGTCACAATTGTCCTCTACTTTACAATGAAGTCAGTAAAGACAAATAGGAGTAAAATAATATCACGGGATAAAAAGAACCAAAGAAAAAATAAGCGAAATCTGGTTTTGTACCCACTCACTGTCCCTCCAGATTGCCGATGTGTCTGTCTCAATTCCTGTAGCTGACCACTGCGTTCCGACATACACGTAAGGGTGCACTGATGTGCGCTTGGAGGACACGAAAGTAAACATCAAGGACACCGAGTTGATAATGCAAAATCCTAGAAAAGCGTCAATTCGCAAAACCTGAGCACATTGAGGATAGAGGTCATCAGGCGCCAACCGAGGATCACACCAACAGCGCCTCATGCGGCGAGGCATCGCCGTATCATTGTGGTTTCGACTGACGCTGAAATATGCGAATCAGATGGCAATTGAATTGAAAATAGAAAGAGGAAGTCGTGTTCAACGTTTTCGTGAGCAACAAGTTGTATTCCAAAGCTGGCCAATTGTTATCAATCCACAAGGTGTACAATGGACGTCGGAATCGGGGGTGAATCTGCGTGTCGTAAACGACACGCGCGGTGAAACGAAGGAGGAACAGACGCTTAGCGAATTCGTACAATTCTGTGTCCAGTCGATTGGCATAGTACACCCTGAGCAGATCACTAGAGTTCACTTTATGGATAGCATTTTGTGTATGTGACCGGTGGCCGTGGACGAAGGAGCTCATGTTCGTCAGTGGGGAATTGAACACGATTTTCAGCGCGCGTTGTAACATATACTGCGTGTAAACCATATGATCACTTAGACCGAATGTGTGAAAGAACCCGGCAAGATTGTACTTGGCACTGAGGCACAAAGTTCGCTGCGCAGTTGACAAAAGTTGATACGGAGAGCGGGACGGTTTGAGCCACTGCGCCAACTTGGAATAGCAGCCAAGTGAGGTTAGATTGGCCAACATTCGGGTCTGTCGATTGTTTGCCAAATTGAACGGACATCGTAAGAAAGTTTGCAGACTGACGTTGTACCATGTTTGACGCCTCCGAAGGTAGGCGGGGCTTGTGACGTTGCTCATAAACTCGGGAACAGTGTAACACGGACGGAACCAACCGGATCGCGCCGATTTGCCATTGCATCGAAGCGGTGAGGAATGCCACGTTGCACCTCTCCGCATATGTAGCCACTCACTCAGATATCGCTCGACGGGATTGCGCAACATAGTAAAATACAAGAACCTGCGATTGGAGAAAATGACAGTGAAAGATGATGATGAATCACTGGGGTGACGTACCGCTATAAGATGCACGTATAAGAAAAAGAATAAACGCGGGAGCATTCCCTACCCCTTAGGCGGAAAACTAAAAGAACAGGAATACATAAGACTCGATGTAACAACAGAAGTAATGACACTGGTGTGATAGGTAAATATATAAATAATTAAGTAGACGGTCTATTTTTCCACATAGCGAGATACATGTGTTCGATGGACTGTCTCCTGAGCTAGACAATTAGTTTGTGAATGTTCCGTCACCATCTGAGATGACATCCTCTGTGGCTTAGAGTAGTTCAACCTGAGCTACACAGATTCATTTCAATAGCATGTCGAGATAGAATCCAATTTGACAGTCTGATCAATTTGTACAAAGTAATCGCATAAGACAGACAATTGCTCGATCCGTCTAAGTTGATTGCCAAACATGCTTCTGAAGTAGTCGAACAATTCACTGCATTAGTAATACAGAGAGGTTGATCGCATGATAGCTGATAATGTAACCAAACGTTCGGGTGAAGTAATATGACCATCCGTGAGGTCAATGCTTGGGGACCTGCTGCTATACGCGGTAGTTCCTCGGAACGTTTCCTTCGCAGTTTCACGCCTCATCTACCCGTGTGCCGGTGTGGTTTGGAAACAAGCCAGCCATTACCGCATAGACTCGTCTTTAGGACGGTTGTTAAATGTATACAGATTAGGCACTCCGCCCATCCTGTCTGTTCCACTATTCAACTCTTTCGAGTCAGGAGCCGATGAGTCGACGACAATTCATGTCGCAATGTTGTATTGATTAAGTCGGAGACTACAAACCTTCACATCAGGAAATCGACACAATTGTAGTCAACAATGTAAAAAGTACGGGAGCAAATGTAATAACGACGAAAATAACGAAATGGCGTGTGGTGTGAATTGCAATCCGACAGTTTGTTCAATACAGGTTTGTGCATAATGCTCATAGAAAGCACATAAATTTTCGAAGTATAGTCCAACCTACTACGGCGACCAGCTTGGCTCGAGACGTTACAGGACATGGCTCACAGTCGACACCAGTGGCGCATCTGCTGCCGTCTCCTAATCGGACTGCCAGTTTCAAGTGTTCAATGCTGAGTTATCTGCAGAGTAATGCCTGACTATGAAGAGGCACAATGAAAGCGTCGTGGAACATGTCTCGCTGATATCGTCTCATAATTACACCATAGGCAGTTGCTAGTGAGAACATGTTGTTGACAAAATGCAGACGCCTGGACCCTGAGCATTTGTTCAGGGAAGTAAGCTTTTACTGCAGTTCCTCCTTCTCTTCTTCTTGTTATTAGTCGTTCCGTATGTCCCTGTGATTGTACGGCAGCGTGGCACCATTTCGAATGGCTGGTATCCCGCTGAGGTTGTTGTTGTCGGTTTTTATCTTATACATCTTTCTAATGATGGCAATGAGTTATCCACTGTGAGTTGGAAAGGTGCTTTATAGGTCACCATACAATGTTGCGAGGAACAGTTAAACCAGCGTACAGTACGCTGATAATGACTACAAACAAGAATGGTGTGGGCGAGGTTGTCGGATGCGGGGACATGAAAGAAGTTCACCGAAAATTGCGCATGGATAAACCGAAACACTAAATGCCCATATGGAATAATGACGACACGGAAAAGTGGCCCCCAGAGGAACGACTTCCTATGTAAAGGAAAAGTGGTCATTTTAAGTCCCAACATAGCCACGTTTTGGTTAAGTCGTCAAGATTGTTGATGTTCTTAATGATTTGCGGGTTGTGGCCAAAACAGCTGAATGGTCCGTATGAGATTCTTTTGAACGCATAGCTACGGGTTACGGTACCGGAGAGCGATTGCTTCTATTGTCACCAGTGGACGGTGTCAGACTGTTCGGGCGTTAAGTAGAGTTGAACAACTACGATCAGAGCACCGAATTGTGGTGGATCCAGTTGGCATAACACACATCACAAGAATACCAACAAATAACAATGGTAATGGACTTGGAAGCAAATCGAATGTAGAGAAAACGAAAGCCAAGGGGAAATATGTTAGACTAATCAGAATGGAACGACACTTAACGAGCAGATGCAAGAAACCGAATGCAGGAACGACACTAACTGCACCATTTGGTAGATAGAAATTATACCAGTAATCCGGTGCAACTGAGCTGTTCTACGAGGAATACTCAATATACCAGCTGCATAATATGCACTCTAAAGTCAGGCATCAATTTGCAATCGTAAGTAAAGCGCTTCCCTACTTCACTTCGGGAAATTCCGGGCAGCTCTTTAACCAGTAACGTGCAAGTGATTGCGGAACTCGATTCTATCACCCTGTTCGTCTACCGTCCCTGCTACTGCAACCACAAACATTGTAAAACCGAATCCGATCTCGCTGCCAATTTGTGAGTATCATTGAACCGCAGCGCGTCATCAAATCAAACGTGCGAACGTAGTTCGTTCAGACGAATTACCACAGGACGAACGTCCGCCATGGGTAAACTACGTAAGTCCACTACGAATATAGACCATGAGGCAATCAATACGTGTCAATAAATGCAAACCCGCGACTAGCCCACTTCTAGACGTGACATCAGACAAGAACACTGTGGTACATTTAGATATAGTAAACCTCATGTCATCGCCATGCTCTGAGAGATGCCCCGGGTGTATGGATCCAAATAAGTGGGTGAAAACTCCATTAGGATGCATCAGCTCCATCAAGCCACTGCCAATTTACTCCCGTGTACTTCAGCGGAAAACACATTTTCGCGTCGACCGCAACCAGTCACAGGGTTTTTGCTTAAAGCCCAAGCCCCATCCTGCAGCATTGTTAGCCATCTAATACATGACAGTCCCAGACATAGCGACCAGTGGTGGTCACGTGGCAACGAAGCGTCGCGATAGTGTGCCGGCGTACTGCTGATGACTTCTTAGTTGGAGGAGATTTCAACTTATCAAATATTCCATGGATCGAAAGTTACCGTACATGAAAAGAAGCTAAAATCTTGGATTATCCGCTTGATAGAGGATGGACACAGCATGAAACATCTCCCACAACATTGCACAATGCACTCGACCTCATATTCAATGCGCGTCCAATAGTTACTGTTATCGACGTACTAGACTGTCCACACGGTAGTGACCATAATGAGGTCAGTCACAAAACAAACATGCCTCTACGGCCCAGTTGAGAAACATGTGTACTTTTGGTAGAATAAGTTCATTAAACTCTGCTACACTTGTGTATTCTTCGGACTGGACTGATTTCTTCCTGTATACTAACTCAAGCATTTTATGAGAAGCTAAATCGACGCATCGAAACACCATCGTCTGCTCTAGCTCGCACACGAAATAAGCCGTAGATGCAGGAAAAACAGCGCGAACGTAAGAGCAGAGCTCTTTGCAAGCGATTTCTACAGATTAATAACTGCACAGTTCTATTCAAGCTTCATAGACCGTAAAATATGTAAATCTGAGAATTCTTCCTCTTAAGAAAGAAGAAACGGAAATAAGGAAACGCGCCAATTCCGTATTTGAAATATCACGATCACTAAAATAGCGGCGTCGCATACAACGAAATTCTCCGCTACATTTAGTCTTTCACACCTCTTCAGTAGCACAGATAGACAGCTAACAAATGGAATAGACTCGCATACTTGGCAGAACCAAAACGCGTCTGCGGTGTTGGCTTTCGTGAACGCCTTCCCAAGGCAGGTAGTGTGGTATGTTTTCAAAAACATAGTACAAACCAGACCACTTTTTACGACTTTGGCACATGATTCGCATTCGCTCTTCATACGAGACATGTTCTCAGTAGGGGTAGGGATGGGATGGAGATACTGACGCACCTTTGCGTGGCGATCGGCGCTGGTTCGAGGTCAGCAGGTCCAGGCGTGTCGAGGCCAGATGAATCACGCGTTCTTTGGGGTGGATGTGCGTGCTATCGATCCAGACGGTAGAGGGTAGGCCGTGGTGGACGTAGGACTGAGGCAAAGCAAGGTGATTTGGAAAAATACTGTCTAATGACGACAGTGGTAGTTCCAAGGACGGATCAAATTGACGACTATCGCTTTGCAGAGCGACCTTGAAGGAATGGTAGTAAGCTGATCGGGTGACTCTCAAAAAGATCTTTAAAATAAGACCACAAGGGTTCTTATGTGATGAGAGCAGAAATAAAACATCCGATAAGCTTCAAATACGGTTGACTTCGAAGTTCCAAGAGCACAGTTTGTTGGTGATCCGTGAATGATAGATCCAATAGATGAACAGTGGTAGGAGGAGCCCGCGGAGCCAAATCGAATGATGGCACTTAGGTCTCTGTGAGAATAAATCCAAAGATTTGGAGGCGAATAACGCAGGAGGACAGTTTTTTTGCGACCGCACTGTCGGTGGAACTTCGCATGACACTGGTGTGATGGACAGGTAAAGAGACAAGTAATACAGTAAACGGTCTATTTCTCCACATAGCAAGATATATGTGTTCTATGGGCTGTCTTCAGAGCTAGGCAATTAGCGTGTGAACGTTTTATCACCACCTGAGGTGACATCATCCGTGCTTTAAAGTACGTAGCGCCGTGAAACGATGCGCATCGATACAATTGACCTAGCAAAAGAACAAACTGGGCTACACAGATTCATTTCACTATCATGAAGAGTTACAATCCAACTAGGCAGTCTGGGGACTTTGTACAAAGTAATCGCATAAGACAGACAATTGTTCGAGTCGTCTAAGGTGATCCCCAAACATGCTTCTGAAGTGGTCGAACAATTCACTGCATTAGTAATACAGAGAGGTTGATCGCATGATAGGTGATAATGTAACCAAACGTTCGAGTGAAGTAATATGGTCATCCATGGGGTTAATCCTTGGGGACCTGCTCCTATACGCGGTAGTTCCTCGGAAACTTTCCTTCGCAGTTCCACGCCTCATCTACCCGTGTGCCAGTGTGGTTTGGAAAG